ATGGGGAGGGCCTGGAGGACCCCACCCACAGTCTAGAGAACAGCCTAGAGCAGGGCTGGGAGCAAGCTGGCCACTGGCCTCACAGGGCACCCCGGCTTTGCGGGCGATCCACTACCACTTAGCTCTGCCTTCAGCGTGAAAACAGCAAAGATGTGCGAAGGGCCTGACCACGTGCCAACAAAACTACTGCGCACCCCACTCTCTAGTCCAAAGCGTGGCGGCCCCTCCTGTCTTTGGAAACATGAGAGCTTCGCTTGGGAAGGTGGCTGCCTGGCCCCAGTGGCCTGCACTGCCCCCTGGGGAGTCTCAGCCCCTGCCAGCCCCCATGCTGCCCGAGGGGCTTCCAAACAGACGCCAGGCCCTCCCGGAGGGGTGCCCAGAGCAGGTGGAACTCAGGCAGGCAGGTGGCGCTCTCACTGGGCTCCCACAGGCTCCGCACACTAAGAAAACGCGAGGTCAGCCGGACCGCCCCCCTCTGTCCCGGGACACGCTGGCTGTGCCCTGTCCCCAGACCTTCAGGTGGCTGGTCCCCTCTTAGCATCGAGGGCTCGGCGTGGACAGTCCCTCCTGAGGGCAGCCACCGGACCACAGCCTGCGAGGGTGCCCATCTCCACCCCGCACCTGGCCTTGCTCCCCACCGCCCCCACCACCGACGAAGTCACGAAGTCGCCTGCCTGACACCTCCCTGTTGAGCACCGGTCGGCCACGGCTCTCACCTGGAGAGCAACTCCTTAGAGCAACTCCTGGGGGACAGATGCGCAGCCCAGGCTGCCGGAGCTCGGTGTCCTGGGAGAGGCAGCTGGAGAGGTGAGGGTGCAGGAGCGAGGCTCTAAGCCAGCCCGCTGGGGGAAGGGCTCCATGGGCTCGGACAATTCCTATCCCCTGGCACTGCCACCTTGCCTCAGTTTCCCACTCAGTAAAGCAGAAACAGTGATAGTTCCTGCGGCCCAGAGGTCACAGTGTGACCAGTGACGGGGCAGGTCATAGACACAGGCAGGGCCATTAGCCTCGTGTGGCCCATCAGTGCACGGCCTGGTGACCCCCCTGCACGGGGCCCTGGGAGGGGGGAGCTGCCCTCAGGGAGCGGGGACACTGCGGTCCTCCCCACAGTACATGGAAGTCATGAGCCACGGAGACCCCAGGGGGCGGCAGATGCCAGTGTCTGAGGGTGACAGTGGGGAACGGGGATCTCCCAGGGCTCAGCGATCCCTACAAAGTTACAGCCTTTGAACCAAGTGTGACGGACGCGGCAGACTCCCGAGTTCCTGTCCCCACCTAAGGCTGCCGGCAGACAGAATGTGACAATGAGACCAAGAGGAGTCTGGGACCCCAGGGAGTGCCGGCCTCTCCAGCAGGTGTGGGCCTGGCTCCTGCATGCTGCCCTCTCACTCCCGCTGGCCCTGGCTGCACAGCCCGTCTCCGCGCCCCTGTCCCCTACTCTGCCCACGGTCCCTGCAGGCCCTTCAGGTCAGGTACCAGGTCTTCTTCCAGACGTTCCTTCTGCCATTCCCACAGCACGGGTCTCATTTTCCACCTTCACCTCCTGCTCAGGAGTCCCTTTCCCACAATCTGTCAGTAGCTCCTGTCCTCTCCCTTCACACTCCCTCCACACACCCTCGTCCTTTGGTTCCATCTTCCTCTCTCAGGCTCATCTGTAAAACCCTAACCCTAGCAGCCAGCGCTGCCGACTCCAGCATCTATCTCGGCAGGCCTGGGAGAGACATACCCCATGCCAATCATTTTCACAGCAAATTCAGAAAAGAGCACCAATTGGAAATACACACTTCTGGGATTTATCCCAAAGTGAAGCCTGTGTAGCCTCACCCAGGTCATAACGAAAGCATAGTGATGGTCTAGTTTTTTTCTTAAAAAAAAAAAAAAAATACACACACATACACACACACACACACACACACACACACACTCTCTAGAGGCCCAGTGCATGAATTCGTGCACCAGTGGGGTCCCTTGGCCTGGCCTGCGGGATTGGTCCAAAACCAGCTCTCTGACATCCCTCGAGGGGTCCCAGACTGCGAGAGGGTGCAGGCCAGGCTGAGGGACCCCACCGGTGAATGATCGGGGCCGGGGAGGGATGCGGGAGGTGGGCCAGCCAGGAGGGACCGTGGGAGGCTCCAGGGCATGTCCGGCCTGTCTCGCTCAGTCCCGATTGGCTGGACCCCAGCAGCAAGCTAACCTACCGGTCGGAGCGTCTGTCCCCAGGTTAGTCAGTGAATGTCACTGCGAGTGGTTGAGCAGCCTTAGCATATCATTAGCATATTACACTTTGATTGGTTGAATGGCTGACCGGATGACTGGACACTTAGCATATTAGGTTTTTACTATATAGGAGATATATATATATATATACATATACATATATATATATTTTTTTTTTCCCAGAGAGGAAGGGAGAGGGAGAGAAACATTAATGAGAGAGAATCATTCATCAGCTGCCTCCTGCATGCCCCCTCCTGGGGATTGAGCCTGCAACCCAGGCATGTGCCCTCATTGGGAATCAAACCATGACCTCCTGGTTCATAGGTCAATGCTCAACCACTGAGCCACGCTGGCCAGGCCCTAGTTTCTCTTAATAGTTCTACGCTGAACACACAACCAAAAGCCATGGCTTAGTCTGGTCTGTTTTTAGCTCCTATGAATGGAGTCCTACAGACGCACTGCGTGTGTCTGCCCTCTCTCTGTGACGTGTCCAGGCAGCCACAGAGCATACCTGGCGTCCTCCCTGCGGCTGGGCAGTTGGGCTGCTCTGGCTCAGGAGTCTCACCACAGCTGTGAGGCCTCGTGCACGTTGCCTGGAACTCAGGATGGACATTTTGGGTGCAGCGGAACTGCCGAGTCTCAGGGCACTTTATCTTCAAACACGCCCCCCAGGGAGTGCCCTCTACCAGAGTGTTATCAGAGTGTAGGCCGCTTCATGGCCACACCAACACGTGACACCATCTGTCTCTGGTCACTGGGGCCACTCCTGTGTACAAGCCTCACTGTGGCTGTAACTTGCGCCTCCCTGGTGACTAATGTGGTTGGAAACCTCTTCATCTGCGGCTTTGCTATTGGGAATCATCTTTCATCAAATGCCTGTTAGACTCCCTGGCCCACTCTGCTCCCGGAGGTGCACTCAGGACCAATGGGCCTTCAGTACAGGCGTTTGGATGCTGCAGTCCCCGAGCTTCCTGGAGTCCCAGTGGCCGATCTCTGCCTTGATGGTCAGTGCTCTGTGTCTGGGGCAGAGTCTTTGCCCCCTGCCTCCATGGAGCTGTGTCTGTGACCCTCAGTCAGACCTGCACAGCTGGGTCCATCCTGTCTGTATGACGTGGGAATCCAGTTTCTTCCTTTCTTGGTTTTTTCTCCACTTTTCCCAGCACCACTAAAAAAACAAACTCCCCCTGCTCTGGACGCACAGCCCAGGTGCTGTCTTCTACGCCACGCCTGTCTGTGCCCTGAGCCAACACTTACAGTCTGAAATGCTCCTACACTTCATCATTTTGACAGCTGATAGAGGAAGTTCTCCTATCGTATTTTACTTCAAGAGTATCTTGGCTAGCCCTCGCCGGTTTGGCTCAGTGGCTTGAGCATCAGCCTGTGGACTGAAGGGTCCCTGTTTCAATTCTGATCAAGGGCACATGTCTGGGTTGTGGGCTCGATCCCCAGGAGGGAGCACACAAGAGGCAGCCAATCAATGATTCTCTCTCATCATTGATGTTTCTATCTCTCTTTCCCTCTCCCTTCCTCCCTGAAATCAATTAAAAAAATATATTTTTTAAAAAAGTGCACTGAATCTGTAGGTCATTTTCTAACTGTATCCAAAACTAATCTTCGTATATTGACCGTAGATCCAGCAACCTTGCTAAACTCACTTATTGATCTTAATAACCTATAGATTCTTATAGATTTTCTGTTACAATCGTATCTTGTGAGAATAACATTAAATTTTTCTTTCCAAGCCTTTTAGTTTCTATTGTTTGACTTTCATAGTACAGTGACAAAGACATGCAATGAAAATCAAAACAGAAATGGCACCAGCAATGTTGCTTGTTCCCAGTCTCAAACAAGTATGATCCCTGTTCAAAGGGATTCTATACCCTTATCAGATTAAGGGAAGTCCCTTTAATTCCTATTTTAACTTTTGTGGGAGATCTGTAGCCATGAATGGATACTGAATTTTGCCAATGGCCTTTCCTGGGTCTGTTGGGATGATATGTGATTTTTCTACTTTGTGAATGTGGTAAATTACACTGACTGATTTTTAAGTATTAAAAACAGCTTGATCAGTGTGGCTCACCAGTTGAGCATTGACCTATGAACCAGGAAATCACGGTTCCATTCCCAGTCAGGAAACATGCCTGGGTTGTGGGCTCAATCCCCAGTGGGGGGTGTGCAGGAGGCAGCCAATCAGTGATTCTCATCATTGATGTTTCTATCTCTCCCTCTCCCTGCCTCTCTCTGAAATCAATAAAAACATATTTAAAAAAAATAAGGCACCATGTTGCCTCACCCCCTGTGACAAACGCAGCACACAGATGCACGATGTTAGCACACGGCCAGCTGGGAGCACAGGGCTCCCCGTGCTTTCTGCTTAACTGGCCTGCAAACCTAAAACTGCTCTAATAGTAAAGCCCATCCAATTTCTAAGAAAAATGGATAAAAGGAAAGAACCACACCAAAAGGTATTCTCTGTATCTGTGCCTCAGCATCGCACCTTTACGGGGTAACATTGGGCCCGTCCTTCCTCACAGACTTGTGAGGCTGAACAGGTTCTGTATGAAGTGCTGAGCCAGCACCGGGCACGTGGGCTACAGCACGGACACACTACCCGGCCTGGGCACACGTGCTGGGCAGAAAGGTGACTGATGGGCATTAGAAGAAGTGGTTACCCCGGGAGGGGAGCGGAGTAGGATCCGGGTGGAATTCAAAAGAGATTCAGATGTATCAGTAAGCTTTTCATTTCTAAAAAGCCAAAGAATAAGAGAAACTGAAATGCTTACCTCTAGGTCATCAAGGGAGCGAGTGACACTAAATCTCTTGGATCTTCCAAACGATCTCCGCACAGAGGTGCGCTGAGAAGTCTGAGCGAGACCAAGTCCCCGCCCAAATTTTGAGCCCTAAACACAAGAAAAGGTAAAGTGAGTTACCTCCAGGGGAGAGGTGCTTAGCTTTGCCTGAGGCAACACCTTGCAGAGAAGAGGGGGCCCAGGAAACCAGACTGTGCCCCCGGGGCAATGTCATGATCTGCAGGCATCACCTCAATGAAAACGCAGAGCCACAGCCAAGGCCGCCCCGGTCTCCAGGGGCTCGCTCTGCCCCTGACAACTACGCGCCCAGAGAACGACCACTCAGCCTCCCGTCACCAGGCTCTGAGCCCCGGAGCAGATGAACAGCACATGGGAGCGCAGTGTGGAGAATAATGGTTATTAACAAAGGCTGGTGTCACAAGGCCGCGCTGTGACTTAATTTCATGAGCGTCTGGGAAACTAAAGAATCCCACATTCAGCTGGCGTCTGAAGCCCAACCCGACTCAGGTGCCGGAAATAACTGGCCAGTGAAACATCTTGTTCTTTCTCTGGGAAATTACTAGAATTAATTCACTGCTATTATGCTAGAGACACTTCTCTGAATGTGATCGTGGTTCCAGCAAATAAGTCACCACATCTTTCACATAAAAGCAGCGCAGCTGAAAATATCTGATTTCCTAGGGACTCGAAACCCTAAGTGCCCTCAGGGCAGGCAGGGGAGCGAGGAAAAGCGAGGCCCTGGGGAGGGAGAGGGACCATCTGGGCTGGGCCAGGCCCCCAGGAGGCTGGGACTGTCTCCCTGAGAGTGAGGAGGCCTGGAGGGCGGGCCAGCTACTTCGCTCTGCTCCCCTGGAGCCTGGAACAGCCTTGGCGGCAGATTCCCCCTGCACTGAGCCCCGGAGAGCAGGCAGCACGGAGAGAGGGCAGCACGCACTGTCAAAGGAACCCATGCCCAGTGCTCCAGCCCAGGGCAGCTCAGAACCTTGGAGCGCCCTCTACCGGAGTGTCATCCCACAGATGCGGGCTCTCAGCAGAGGCTGCTACTGTGTCCTCCCTTCCTTGTGACATTGCAGTGATGCAATGTCGCCCGTGGGCGTTGTTTGCACAGAGTCACGATCAAAGCCGGGCATAGTTTCCAGATATGTTTACAATCTATTTTAAAACTTCCTGTCATTGTGCTAGGAAAACGACAAGATTCTCATGTTGAATGCGGGCCCTCCTGGCCTGCCTGAGAGCTGAGCCTGTGGTCAGCTGTGCCACTGGGACTCAGCAAGGCTTCCGACGCCAGGCCTCGCTGTACCACTCGGGCTCCCGCAGCCACTTCCCTGCCTCAGTGACCGTGCCTCACTCTCGGTTCCCTGTGCCAGTCACTGCTGTGCAAAGGGAGGCATTGAAGCCACCGCCACCACGGAGCAGTGACAGGACTCAACCATGCGACATGCAGGCCTCTGGCATCTGGCTCCTTCCCTTTCCCAAGGCCTCCCCTCTGCTCATGGACAGCACGTCCTTCTCCCCTTTCCGGCCCATCCCCTGCTCATCCTGACCCACCTCCGCCAGCTCAGGCCAGGAGGGACATAGGGGACCCTCCTCACCACTCTGGAAGCTTCTGCACTCCAACTGAGGAGGCTGTGCAGGGTGACCCTGAGCTAATAATGCAGGGGAACCCATTTAGCAAAATAAAAAGCAGCCAATGAATTTCAAGAGATTACAGAAGGGTCCCAATAAAACACAATTCATGACTACAATTGTGCGTCTGTCACCGTTGTCATTACAAAGGGAACTACAGGAGGAGGCCCCGCGGAGCCCCCGGTCCGGAGCGCAGCACTCATTGGCCACCGACGGGCGAGCTGTTTAATACGCGGGTCAGTAAAATGAAAAGGAGGCACCAGCCTGAGGAGCTCACAGAGCCCCCACCAGGTCCCAAAGGAGGCCTGGCATGAGCTGGGGAACTCGAGGCTTATCTCCCAACATGAGCCATAATGATTCCATCACAAGCGTCCCGTTCGTCTGTGACAGGGCGGCAACACCAGCCAATACTGTCCCTCTCGCTACGTTTTTTTAATCCTCACTTGAGGATGTCTCTCTCACGTGGATGTTTCTCTCTCTCCCTCTCTCTCTTTCTCTCTCCACCCCCCCCAACCATCCCTCCCGTCCACTCTCTCTAAAAAAAATCAATGGAAAAAATGCCCTCTGGTGAGGATTAACAACAACAACAACAACAACAAAAGGGTGTATTGCCTCCGCCACTCGGCCAGAAACCCAATGGACTTCGGAGGCACAGTGACAGGACCTGCAGGCACCAGCAGTAGGAACGGGAGGAAGGAGGGGAGACCCTCACCTGGGCTGTGAGAAGTCACCATCCCTTCCACCCCCGGCCTGTCCCGCCAGAGCAAGGGCCCGCTGGGGATGAGACCACTCAAGGGAGGGCTCCAGGCGAGACGGAGCCTCAGCACACAATCACAGCAGACACCAGTGGCAGCCGACAGAGGCCACAGCTAGGGGAAGCGGCGGGGGACTGGGCAGCTGGTGCGCTGTCATTTCACCAGCCACTGACTAAGTCATCCAGTCAAATTCACGTTCACTAAACCACCCCCGCAGGCTTACCTTTTTGTCTTCTTTCGTCTTCCTAGCGTTTCGATGGGGACCAAAAATGTTCTGCATCCCAAACGCCTTCCTGGACCAGTCCCTCTTCTGGGTGCTCAGCAGGGGCTGTGCCAGGCTGCCCTCCAGCCGGTAGCGGTCAGCGGGGATCTTGCTCATGGGAGGGGGCAGCGTGCCGCAGTTGACGCTGGACCACCCGTCAGTGGAGTCCGTGTAAGACTCCTGGTCACTGGCGTGTCCGCACTGCCACTCCTGCAGGACGTGAACCGGAAGCCACCGCTGGCTGAACCCACCGCCAGGGCCCACAGCGCCTCTCTTGGAAGGCGGGACCGAACTCCGCAAGGGGGTTGGGGGGACCTCCACGTGAGAAGTGGGCCCCAAATGCTTACTAAAGTCCCAGCCCCTGTCAGCCTGTGGAACAGCTTCAAATGGGGGCCCTGCCTCAGGATCGTGGCAAAAGGCCCCATTCCAGGGGGTGGCCCAAGGCTGGGAGCCCCTTCCCCCTGCCCCCTCCCAGGTGCTGCTGCTGGGGCCATGTCTGCTGGAACTGGCGCCCAGGTCGACCACAAGCACCCGGCTGTTTCTCTCCTCCTGGTTGAAATTTCCAATGCCACTGTCACTGTTGCTGCTGGTGCTGGTGTTCTGGTGGGCATCGGCATCCCCGTCCACGAAGGCCCGGGCCCGCACACCCTCGATCAGCTCGCCCATGTCCCGGTACAGCACAGAGATGAACTGGAGGACCGGCAGGGAGGACGCCGGGAATTCCAGGCAGCCATTGGTGTCAGGGTCGGCTGTGCACTCAAACCCGAACCGCCGGGCGATGCCTTGGTGGATCTTGTGATTGAACAAGTCTGGGTCCACCATGAACACGTGGCAGGAAGTCCGCAAGACGCCCTCGCCCTCCCGCGCCAGGCTGCCGTCATCGCTGTTCTGCATGGTCACAAGCCCGAAGAACCGGCGGTCGTCGGGGCACACAGCGCTGAAGGCCAGCTTCTCGGCAGGGTACTCGGCCAGCACGGCGGCCTTGTCAGTGCACAGCTGCACGCCATCGTGCATGATCTTCATGGTCACCAGGGAGTGGATCTTCTGCTCGGCCCGCAGGCGCCGCAAGCAGCCGCGAATAGCCTGGAAGCTGTCGGCCTCCAGGCTGCAGCTTGTGGAAGGAAGTTCGATGGAACCCAAATAGCCAACGACCATGGCGACGTTTAAAATACTTGCATCTAACCCAAACTCGTCCTGATTCTCTAGTCCAACACTGAAAACCGAGTCGTCGTTGATAACGTGTGCGATCTCCTTGGGAAGCAGGCCGGGCTGCGGGCCGCCTACACTTTCCTGCCCCGGGTCGAATCGCGCAGCTGCCGACTCCGAGAGCGACCTGTGCTTCAGTTTCGAGGGCTCTGAGCTGCTTGCATGCAGACGAGGGTTTTCGAAGATCATGCTGAAAATCCCCCCCGACTGCATGTCCTCCACGACTCTCTCGGCTCTGTTGATGCCCAACGCTTTGGAATCGAGTCTGGGCTTCCGCCAGCCCTTCCCGTCATAGAAGCCCACCTCCTCATCGCTGGAGCAAGACTCCAGGTGACCGAGGCCTTCGCCCACCACCATGTGCAGGACCCCGGAGCATTTCCCGATGAGTTTAACCACGTCCTCATGCGACGCTTTCTTCACGTTGATTTCATTTACAGCGAGTATCTGGTCTCCGGCGCGGAGGCCCACAAAATCAGCGGGGCTCCCTCTCATGACACAGCTGAGCACGCAGGGCGCCTGGCCGGAAAGGGTGAACCCGTAGCCTGCTCTCCCTCTGGCGACCTCCACACTCCTCAGGCGAGGGGGTGCCGTCCCCGGTGGCGGGCGCTCTACTGTGTCCCCCGCTCTGTACATCTCAGCGCCTCCCAGGCCAGGAGCATAGTTCCCCGGGGGCCTCACAGTTCAGAGAACGCTTGCTGCTGCCATCGTTTTCTAGAAATGCTGCCCTGAGGAAGAAAAACAACAGCTCGGCGTTAAAGAGCCCAGGCCTCACTGCTTCCTGGCATCACCTGAACTTGGAAAGGTATCTCATAGCAAAACCCGTCACCAAGGAGTCTCCAGTTACCAAGCAAATGTCAGCGGAGGAGAGAGCAAATCTCAGGCTAAGAATTTCCTTCCAAAGTGGGAACTGCTTCCCAGGACGGGTCCCCCTCAACACCGACCCTCCTGCGAGGCTGCCCTCGGGACTCTGCAGGACCCACTTCCTGGCGCTGTTCCGCCTCCCGATCCAGAGAGAAGAGAAGGGACCTGGAGACCTCACACTCACAGTGTGGCCCGCAGCCCAGCCACCGCCTGGGGCTCCCCTGCACACCGATGTGTCTGAGGGGCATTTGCACCCAGGGCAGAGTCGGACTGAAACGCAGCGCTGGCTACAGACTCGGGGTCTCACTTCTGAGGCAGCCCAGGTCCACCTGTGCGTGATCACTAGGAAGGTTTCCCCGGGAAGGCATCTGCTGACGTCTCATAGTCCACGCCCCCCCAATTAATTTATGCGAACTCGGTACCTTGTGGGGAAAACATCCGTCTCAAATGCCGCAGTCCACACCACAGAGGCCACCGACACACCAGAGGAAACCTCCGAAAAGAGCGCAGGAGCTCAGCACTAACAGGCAGCCCAAGGTGTGCCCGGGGACAGAAGCCCCGGCTAACGCACTGCCTGCCGATGCAGCCATGACCTCACAGCCGAATGTCATGGCGGACGGAGCCAGCGCGGCCCTGCTCCGGCGGCTGTGCGGGGCTGGGTTCACACAGGGCTGCTCGGGTGGCTCTTCGCCACCCCGCCGCCTCCGGTTTACTGTTAGCACAGCACATGCTGTGGGGGAACTGACCTCCTTGAAGTGCTTCTGCTGGCAAAAATGATTCACCCGGTCTCAAAGAGTCCATCTCAAGTCCTTGGTAGCTTCACCCCCAAATGTGCGCATTACTGTAAGTGTAGGCAGTGGGTGGGCAGCCACCAACATTATTGTATGCATGGTCGTTGAGTAACTTACAATAGACTGAGCAGAAGAGTATGCTTTGTTCAAAATGCTCCCATTCAGCATTTTGTTATTATGCAAGTTTTTACATGTTTGTTTGCTTTTAATTCAATTCTGGAGGTTTTACCACTTCAAGCCCTAAGAAACCAAAGGCCCAGCTACAGGGGCGTGCGGCAGGCGCCTCGGTTCCGGTCTCCAGGAGCACAACCCGCCTTCCCACTTAGTTCATTGCTAAGCAGCCAAACAAGACTTTACAAACAGAAAAGCAGCTCTTGGAAATGGGAAATACAGCAGAGATAAATAATCAGGAACGAGGGGAAAGCAGTAAGGGAGAGAAGAAATTCAAGATGGCAAATTTAAGGACATTTCATTTCTTTGAACATATCAGAAATTTGTATACAGTTAATAATGTTACAATGAAATGGAATTCCAAAAACAATATAAAGTTGAAGAAACATAGTTACGCTGGTGTCATATGCCCCCCGTAAAGTTTTAAACACTACCCTGAATACATCCTCCCCCCTCCCACTCAGGCTGCGAGAAGAGAGGCGGCCCCAAGGGGGGGAGCGCCCAAGGCCTCCGGGCAGGAGAAGGGCCGGGAACAGGATCCCTGAGCAGCTGCTTGAATATTTTATCGCTGGTTCCTGGTGTCTCCGCTACAGAAGGCCTCACACCAAGTAGCATCTCTAACTCAGAACTTTCCCTTTTTTAATGTGTGGAGAAGAAAATCTAGATTTAGCAGAATATTATACTACTTTAAATTACAAAGGTCCATTTTACTGGCTCAAAAATATTAACATACTAGAGGCCCAGTGCACGGATTCGTGCACAGGTGGGGTCCCTCGGCCTGGCCAGTGACCAGGCCGATTGGGGCCCTCTTTGGAGGTTGGCTGTGGGAGCGCACTGACCACCAGGGGTAGCTCCTGTGTTGAGCATCTGCCCCCTGGTGGTCAGTGCACATCATAGCTACTGGCCGGTCATCCAGTTGCTTAGGCTTTTATATAGATAGTTGACCCTTGAACAGTGTGGGGGTTAGTGGCACCGGAAACCCACATATAACTTTTGACTCCCCCCAAACTTAACTCCAGTCCCTTGGTATCTGTGAGAAATGGGTTCCAGAACCCCCACAGACACCCAAATCCGAGGATGCGCTAGTCCCTCACACATTGTTGCATGAAACTACGCACAGTCAGCCCTTCACATCAGAGGATGCCCAACCTCGGATCAAAAATACTGTTTTCAATCTGCGGTTGGCTGACTCCAAGTGTGAAACTGGGGGATACTGAGGGCTGACTACATATTTATTGAAAAACCCACGTATAAGTGGACCTGCACAGCTCAGACCCGCGTTGTCCAAGGGTCACCTGTACTGCACATTGATTCTAACCCTCTGTAATGTGGTTATCTCAAGTAAGATCCACAGGATTACGAATGAAGAGGAACAAGTGTGCACATGTACGCCCTCCAACGGTGAGGACACTGTGCTAGAGCATACTGGCTGGGTCACGCCAGGCACTGAAGACAGCAGACACCTCAGCCTCAGAGGACAGAAAGGCATCCACGTCCGGGAAAACTGTCTCCCTGTCACTGTCTGATGCGGGGTGATGCGGGGCTCTCCTGTCACTTGCCATCGCTCCCTAGCATGTGGGGCTTAACAAAGGCACTGAGGTCGGAGCATTCGGAAGGAACTTCTTTTATTCACATCACACTGCAATGCCTTCTGCACATGGGGACTTCAGGTCTCAACGGAGGAAAGCAGCTCAGCAGAAGGCCGGGAGCGGTCCAGCACTCAGCCTCTTCTCTGGTGCCACCTTGCCCACCTACACCCGCCCCCACCTCCCTCTGGCTCATCTTCCCAACCCTGCTCACACCCATGACGCTTCTCGAGGGACCCAACCTTACCCCCAGCCTACCTTCCAAGGCCGCCTCACCAGGCCCCTACCCAAAGCTCACCGTCACCTCAGGCAGGTCCATCCTCACAGCCCCGGGATTTTCCCAGGACTTTCCCGCCCGCTCTTCATTTGTTCGTGTGTCCATTCAATGACTGTCGAGGGGCTTCCGCAGCAGCCCCAGGCAGACAGTTATGAACAGGTGACTAGAGATGGCCCTGCCCCTGGGGCCTGCCTCAGCAGGTCGATATGTCCACACAGGAAGGCCCACAGCCCTGACTCCATTTGAGAAGTTACTCTTCCCTGAACATACCCGCTTCCTGCTGCCCCTTGGCTCAGCTCAGATCCCGTCTCCCCCCTGAGGCCCCACTAACTCTTCCAACCCTCAGCCACCCCCAACTGCCCTGCAGAGCGGGCCCCACGATCAGGCTGTGCCTGCTGTCCATCGCCAGCCCAGGGCATCACTGCGCAGCCTCCGCAGCCTTCTGAGGCAGAGCGGTGGGCACCCGTGGCAGCGGCACACACTCGGCCTTTGGTGCACTGAGGACACACGCAGGCTGTGGGGACACACGCAAGGGACAGGGGACAGGTTTGAGGGGAAGCCGTGCGTCTTGAGCAGGGAAGTGGCGCTGGGCAGTCATGAGAAGCTGGGAGAACTAGCAGCTGGGCTCCACCTGCCAGAGGCTGGGCCGCACAAGGCCAAGGCCATGCACGGTAGGAATCCTATGTGCGGAAGACCACAATCAGCAGCTCAGGCAGGGCCAGGAGCCCCATCCGGCTCCCCCAGCCTCCCAACCAGGACTGAGCCCAAGGGGCTCAAAGAGCAGGACTGACCTACCCCCAGCCAGTGGGCCGCATCCGCCCAAGAGCTCTGGCACCAGCCTGGCGGTGACCGAGTTTCGGGAAAAGTAAACAAGGCCAGCCGAGCAACTTCCTTTCAGGATCTGCAGCCGATGGGAGTGCAGGGCTGTTTTTAATTCCAGAAACAAATTCTTATTCAATAATCCTGAAATATTGAAGGTTAAACCATGTCAATTTCTCCTTCCCTTTTTATCTCTACTTAATATTTCTGTTTGTGGTTTTTAAACCGAGGCAAAGTGAGCCTATAAAGAGTTGCTGGATTTAGTGAGTCACAATACAGGACACCTAAATGTGAATTTCAGACATAAGATGAATCACATTTAGTGTAAGTACGTCCCAAACACTGCACGGCATGTTGTATCTGGCCAATCTGTGCAGGAACAGACGAGGCAGCCCGTCTTGCCCGGCCTGACCCAGCGGCCCTGGGCTCCTCCTTGCTGGACCCTGGCTTCCATGATCCCACCAGGACGTCACCTGCACCCCACTACCCCTCCCAGCCACTTCCCAGGGCGGAGCTGACGGTGGGGCCAGGCCCTGTGCCCACCTGCACAGTGTGACCATCACCCGGCCTCAGCTCCAAAGGGATGACCAGGAAGGACAGGCCTCCTGTGTGATCCCCACCACATACAAATGCTGTTTTGCCCTCTGCGACCCATGGAAAAGCAGCAACTGCTGGCCGGGCTTGGTCTGTGTTTTCACTGGGGCCGCAGGGAATCGTTCTGCTCGCGTGTCTCCGTCATTCGCAGGAAGACAAGGCAACCTGCATGTGCACGAGCTTCCAGGCGCCGCTTTGCAGGCGTGTGAGGGAGAAGCTGCGAGCCCAGTCCGCACACAGGGTGCTGGGGGCAGACCACTTTTAAAACAATTTTTTAAATATTTTTTTTTTATTAATTTTAGAGAGGAAGGGAGAGGGAAAGAGAAATAAAAACATCAATGATGACAGAGAATCATTGACTGGCTGCCTCCTGCACACCCCCTACTGGGATCGAGCCTGCAACCCGGGCATGTGCCCTTGGCCAGAATCAAACCTGGGACCCTTCAATCCGCAGGCCAACTGAGCCAAACCGGCTAGGGCGGCAGACCACTTTTAGATGCAAGGGGGAAGGAATGGCCAGAGGAAGTCATGTGGGCAGGAGGCCCTGTGCCCCTCCTGACCCCTCCTGGCTCCTCACCTCCCAGGTCCAGGCAGGGTGGATAATGGGCTGCATGGTAGCCCCAAAGACATACGGGCCTAATCCCCAGAACCTGGAAATGTGGCCTTATTTGGAAAAAGGATCTTTGTAGCTGGAATCAGAGGCTTTGAGACGAGGAGATGACCCTGAATTGTCCCCATCCACGAGAAGCACACAGCTAGATCCCCACAGCTTCCTCACCCACCAATCAGGTGGACCCTACCTGTAATCACAAGTGGCCTTCTAAGAGGGAGGCAGAGGGAAGAGGGGAGATCAGACACAGGGAGAGGCCATGTGAACACAGGACAGAGACTGGAGTGATGCGGCCCCAAGCCCAGGACTGCTGGCACCACCGGGAGCTGGGAGGGGCAGGAGGGATCCTCCCCAGCGCCTCCGGGAGGAGCACAGCCCTGCCACACTGTAGGCTTCTGGCCTCAGAACTGGGAGTGAATAAATTTCTGCGGCTTGAAGCCACTCACTTTGTGGTACTTTGTTACAACAGCCACAGGAAAGGAATACAAGGGGTAGGTAGGCCCAGGGAGCCCTCCTCCTCCTGGGACCCCACTGCCCGACCCTCCCAGTGAGGCCCTGACTGGCTGCAAAATGCTTAACTCCACAGAGCTGTCCTGGGTTGGACTCCAGGAAATGAGGGCTCTGGTGGACATCTGGGCACCTCACTCTGCCCAAGTGCCCCCTCAGCTCCTCTGGCCTGCACTCAGGAGGAGTCACAGCCTGGCACGTAGTAGGGCTTGATACAGATGTGCTACATGAAGGCCTGAGCTGCCCTCCTGGGCACAAACCGAGTCACAGCAACGACACTACAAGCCTAGACATGACCAGATTCGCACCATCGCTAACAGGTGCTGAGGATGTCCTGTGTGTCATAGTTCCCCACTATTTTACACAGATTATCTGTGGACCCTGAGAAAGAAGATGCCTAGTTAAGAAGGGGTCCTGGTGGCTTAACTGGGCTTAAATTAAAAAAAAAAAAAAAAAAAAAAAAAAAAAGCTGCACTGAGCTACCGCCTCTGCACTGAACTGCGGGCTGAGCCAGGAGTTCCGGGAATCCTATTTCAACCAATAGGACGGAGGCTTTCCCCATCCAAGAGAAGCACACAGCCATAGCCCCACAGCTTCTTCACCCACCATTCAGCACGGGCCTTTTGGACCAATCGAACTGTGAGGATTTGGATCCCTCATTTGCATGAGGGCAGACCAATCAGGGACCAGGAGCAGGACTTCCGTCTAGAGCAGCCGTGGGCCCGTTTGAAATGAATAAAACTAAAAAAAAAAAAAAGACCGTACCCTTTTATATAATGATGTTTATTTTGAATTTATGTTAGTTCACACAAACACTCCATCCATGCTTTTGTTCCGGCCCTCCAGTCCAGTTTAAGAACCCATTGTGGCCCTCGAGTCAAAAAGTTTGCCCACCCCTGGTCTAGAAGTCAGCTTCCCTCTGGCCCTGGGAGCCCACTCTCCCTTTCCACCAAAGCCGGCCTTTCCCTGGCTTCACTGAGGGAGGAGCGGACAGCAGGCAGAGCAGACGGGCACAGAGCAGCAAGGAGTGCAGTGGGCAGAGCTAGCTGGGCCAGGGCCTGGCAGGGCTGCCTCACAGCCGTGTGTTTCCACAGCTGCGGGACCACAGTTGAGCTGTTTTGCACTAAATCAAGTTTCCTTCCTCACTGCACCCCAAATTGGGGACTCCCGTTGGTGTTGAACTGGCACCAAGGAGGCTGACATATCCTCGCCGCAGCCTTGCTATTAACCTATTTTATAGTCAGAGACCGTGGCACAGAGAGTAGTTTGCCCGTGGTCAAATCAGGTACCAGATGAGGTAAAGAACGTGGTACCGAAAGGCAAAATCTGCACCGTGGCCTCAGCCCTCAGCCGGAGCCTGAGGCCGGGTAAACGAACAGTGGGCCCAGGGAGCAGCCGCCTCTGGGAGGTCAAAGAACCCCGGTCCTTACCCCTAAGCGGCTCACATCAGAGGAAGGCAGGGAAGAACCACAGCCGCTACTGCCGCAGGCTCAGCAAACCGCACACGCGAACCAGGCACCTGCTCAGGCTGACGCAGGCTCCACTCACCGGGCTTGTTAGGGAAAGGCTCTCTGTTAGGCCAGAGTGGCTCGCTCCCCCATTACTCGGTTCTCCAGATGAGACTACTAAACAGACTACTAATCACAGGCTATCAGTGCAGGGAAAAGCCTCATGCACTCTCCTTTGCTGCTCAATCAAGTTCCCAGCAGGTACAACATATAAAGACCAACTATTTGAAGGCACTGGAGAGCTCCGAAGAGCAGGCAGAACCTGGGAGGGAGCTGTCCCCTAAAAGGGCGTCTGCACGGTGACAGAGCTCGGAGCTCTGGGAAAGCGCAATCCTCCCAGCTTCGAGGCAGGGTGCCTGGGAAGAGAGGGGGCCATCCCAGTACCTCAGAAAGGAGGAGCTGGAGAGAGAGGAAGCCCTGAGATCTGTTCATAAGCTAAGTCCCGGTCCTTGGCCAGCCCTGGCGCTGCCCATGCAGAGGGTGAATCCATGGAGCTGCAGGAGGCAGCTGGCAGGCCAAGTGCACCAAGTGGAGATGACAGAGATTTCAGTTTGAGTCCAAAGTAACTTCCAGAACAAAAAACAACACTCTTTTCAAACAAGAATCACTGCAATGGACCATCCACGACGTCTAGTACACAACCAAATACTATCAGATGTTCAGACATTAGTGTGACCAGTCAAGATGTGACCATAGTCAAGAGGAAGGAGGTCAACAGAAACAGATCCTGAGATAACCCAGGGCCTGAAATGAGCAAATAAGAGCTACAAAGCAGCTAAGAGTGTGTCCAGGATTTAATGGAAAATGTGGTCACAATAAACAGGTGGTGTATCTCAGTAGAGACATAGGCACTATAAAGCAGCACCAGGTGGAAATTCTGGAAATGTGTGTCTACTTCTGAAGAGAGATGGCCAAAGGAGCGAGTGGCCATCAGCTCCCAGAAAGTAAAGAACAGCTGCTCCACCAGACCTGAGCGCGAAGCCAGGCTCATCTTCTTTCCTGGGACACCTGCTCCAGGATGGCTCAGCCTCTCCTCCGGGGCAGGGCACCCGCAAGGCCCTGCCGGACGCGCAGCGGCAGCCCCTCTGGCTAGAGCTGCCGGCGGACCAGGAGGTGTAGGAGGTGGCTCTCAGCACAGTCCTCTCAGCAATGAAGCCAGGAGCACTGTGGCAGGCTAACGGGTGGTCCCCAAACACGCCAGGTCCTAGCTCCTGGAACCGGGAGTGTCACCTTGCAGGGAACAGGACTTGGCAGGTGTGATTAACTTCAGGATCCTGGTGGACACACGTGGGCCAAGAACGGACCGACAAGGGTCCTGGCGGGAGGGAGGAAGGCCGGCGCAACCAGGGCAGCAGGGGTGGGCAGGGGGTGGGAGGCTCGGCCAGGGCGGAGGGCAGCCTCCAAAGCTGACCAGGGGCAGGAAGGTTCCTCCGCGGTTTCAGCCCAGTGAGACCCAGGGGAACGTCTGTGTTTCGGCCGAAGTTGGTGGCACTCGTCTCACAGCCACAGCAAAGTCCTACAAGTGCTCACAGGAAAGCAACCGCTGATGGGAAATGCCACCAAATTCAAAGAAAAGGGCTCTCCCCCAGGTGTGTCGTCATCGCTTCCCTCCCTCATCCTGACGGCGTTGTTGGGTCCAAGGCAGTAAACCAGAAGCGAACCTGCCGCTGCCGCCTGGGGCTGCGCCCGGAGCCGCCGCGCCCGACCCCCGACCCCCGACCCCCGAGGGCCAGCCCCAGCCGGGTCCTGAGCCTCTGCCTGGCCCGGGCCCTCCTCCGGGTGGTCATCCCAACAAGGGCCCTGGACCCCGGCTTTGCCCACAGGCCGCTGGGGGCCTCCCTCACCTCCTGACCCTCGGGCGCCCGCCCGCCTCCCGCCACAGCCCTCCTCCTGGGGGACCTCCTCGCCACAGCCCCCACCGGAGGGTCCCCCAGCAGCGGCCACGCAGGCCTGGCGCCTCAGCCATGCGCCCACCCCTCCCGCAGCCGAGGTCCAGCGGGCACTTCATGCCTCAAACCCACCGGAACGGAGGCGTTTTCATGAAACCTCACACGTAGGACAACTTATTTCTAAACAGAACTCGGCTCTCCTGCTGGTCGCCCCCGGGAGACCACCGACCCCCGCCGCTCTAGGCACCCAGGGGGCGTCTCCCTCCTCGGGACGCGGTGGCCCTTCGGCAGCCCTCCCTGTCCCCTCCCTGTCCCTGACCTGCAGGTGCAAGTGCCCACGGACCGCCGCCTGCGCGCACCCGCGACCCCAACCAGCCCCATCCACCAGCGGGGAAACTGAGGCACGCGCACCTGGCCACCGGCCCGAGGGCAGACGCACTCGGGGGCCTCTGCCTACACCCCACAACCCGGACACGACCACTCCGGAGTCTGGGGCGCGGGGGCGGGGGGGCAGGGCTCGCCGCTCATTTGCTGAGCCGGGTCCCTGGAGACGCCTCTGCCCAACAATGCGGCGCCTGTGAGGTCCGGCCAGGAAACCAGGACCCGCCGGGGCGAGCGGGCACGGGGCGGGGGGCGCAGGGGCCGGGTCCGCCCCAACGCCGCCCGCTCCGCCCGCCCCCAGCCCGGCCGACGGGTCCCGCAGCACCGCGAGGCCTCGCAGCGACCCGCACACGGGCCCCGACGAGTGCCGGGCGCTGGGCCGGGAACAAAAGGAGGGCGGCCGGCGGCCGGTCCGGGGAGTCTCTGAGGAGGCGGCGGCCTGAGGAGCGGACCGGCCCGCGCCCTGCACCCCGCGTCGCGCTGGGCGGGGCCGGCGGCCGAGGGCGCTCTCTCGCGCCCGGAGAAGAAAGAAAGCGGGGCGGGGCGGCCCTGCGCCCGCCCGCAACCTACCCGCTCGCTCCGCCGCCCGCGTCCGCGCCGCCCGCGCGCCCAACGGTCTCCACAGCCGCCAGCCGCCGCCGCCTGGGGTTAGGGGCGGGGCCCGGAATACGGGGCGTGGTCAGGGCCTGTGGGCGGGGGCTTGGAGGAGTCGGCGGGTGGGGCATCCGGGGGCGTGGTCGTGCTTGGGCGTGGCCTCAGGGCGAGGTGGGGCGTGGCCTCCCCGGGGTGGGCGTGTCTCAGGAGGCAGCGGAGCGCAGTTGATGGGTGGGTCGGAGCCTCCAGGAGGCGGGGCCTTCACGGAGCGCGAAACCGGACGTGCGGCCAGGCCGCTAGGGGCGGGGCATCAGGGGACCAAGGTAGGAAGAAACAAGGGCGGGGCCTTGAAATAGGAGGCGGGCCTCCCAGGCAGGGGGCGGGACTTCCGCCGCCGAGTGGTGACCACGCATCCCGCCCGGCCCTGGAAGCCCTACGCCCCCGCTTCAGTCCCCTCCGGGCCACCTCTCGGTCCCCTTCGGTGCCCCCGCCGCGCCCGCCCGCCCTCTCTTCCGACTGCCTTCCGGACTTTGATGCTCGGCGAGATCGCATTCATGGGAAACTGTTTTGAAGGAGGAGAGTGGCTCGCCGCCCGCAGGTGGGAGGCCAGGCCTGCGGAGCCCAGCGCGAGCGGTGAAGGGCCCAGGGGCCTGCGCCCCGCCCCCCGCCACCGCCCGACCGCCGCCTCTGCCCACTGGACCTTCCCGGGGTCGCTCCCCGCCCCGCACTCACTATTTCTGTGGCAATGACGTCCCCCTTGTCACCGGCCCGCCTGAGGACTTGCAGGAGAGGGGCCCCGGGGTTGCTGTGCAGCCTCAGGGCAGGGGGTTGGGGGGAAGCAAGTCCAGGGCTCCTGGCGAGCGGGCCCTGGCGGCCTCCAGGACGCAGCCGGCACGGCATCTCCCGGGCTGCCCCTCCCGGGCGGTCTCTCCTGGGCTGCCTGTCCCGGGCGGCCTGTCCCGGGCTGCCCCTCCCGGGCGGTCTCTCCTGGGCTGCCTGTGAAGCCATCGGCACAAGTCCACTGGCCGTCCCAGTCCAGCCCGCCACCGGCTGGAGCAATCAGAACCGAGGTTATGCTTTCACGTGCCCTCCGGTGCGCCCCAAACACAGCGCGGGCAATCCCCCCACTGCCCGGAATGGCGTCCGAGTGCCTCTTCCCCTGTGTTTGCAAATAAAACACCTCCACGGCGCCATGGAGTGTGCAGGGGGCATTAGAGGAGCGCTCTCGGCAGGACAGGACGCCGTGACCCCGGGCCATTGTCTCTGTCGTGGACTGAATGTGTCCCCCAAAACGTCCTGCTGAAGCCTAACCCCTGGTGAGCTGGTGCTAGGAGGTGAGGCCTCAGCGAGGTGAGCAGGTCAGGGTAGGGCCCCCAGAGCCCCCTGTCCCTTCCCCCACGTGAGGTGACAGTAGAGGGCGCTGTCCACCAGCCGGGACCTGGGCTCTCACCAGACACCAAACCTGCTGGGGACCTGGTGGTGGGCTTCCCGCCCCCAGAACTCAGGTCCGGCTGTTTCTCAGTGCCCCACCCCCACCCCACCCAGGACGGACTGAGGCACCCACGTCCACCCTGCTGCACAGGGTGCCGGCGGAGGGCAGCTGGAGACCACGGCCCCTTTCTGACCCACCACGTTCCCGCCTCCCGTTCCTGGCTTCCCTAGCCTTGTCCCAGCCACCCGCTTGGCCCAGGACTGCTTTTTCCTCCCGTCTTTCCTCTCCCCAGGGCTGGAGGCCCTGCGCCTCCCTCCTCCGTCCTCCCTGCGGAGCCTCCTCTCCCCTTTACACACCTCGCTCGCGGCCTGCCGCCCTCCAAACTGCGCACCCTGGGGGCTCCGGGCACCCCTCTCCTCTCCCTCTCCCCCTCCCCCTCCTCCTCTCCCTCCCCTTCCCCCTCCCCCTCCCCCCTCCTCCTCCTCCTCCCCCTCCCCCTCCTCCTCTCCCTTCCCCTCCTCCTCCCCCTCCCCCCTCCTGTCCTCTCCCTCCTCCACCTCCCCCTCTCCTGTCCTCTCCCTCCTCCCCCTCCCCCTCCCCTTCCCCCTCCCCCTTTCCTGTCCTCTCCCTCCTCCCCCTCCCCCTCTCCTGTCCTCTCCCTCCTCCCCCTCCCCCTCCCCTTCCCCCTCCCCCTCTCCTGTCCTCTCCCTCCTCCCCCTCCTCCTCCTCCTCCCCCTCCCCCTCCCCTTCCCCCTCCCCCTCTCCTGTCCTCCTCCTCCTCCTCCTCCTCCCCCTCCTCCTCCCCCTCCCCCTCCCCCTCCCCCTCCCCCTCCCCCTCCCCCTCCTGCTCCGTCACCTGCTTGGTTTGACCTCAAGGATAAGGCTCTGCCCCCCCCCACCCCCGTCCCCTCCCGCTTCCAGGCCCTTTGGCAGCTCGTCCTCAGGTCCTTTGTTATTACTCGGTCCCAGGAGGAAACAGGTGGTTTCCTCAAGTGGGGAAACCTGAGAGGAGCCCCCGCTGCAGGGCCCCGGGGCTGGTGCACAGCCGGACAGACCCAGGGACGGCCGGCACCACCTCTAGGGCTGAGAGAGGGGGCAGCCCAGAGGTTAGGGGACCCAGAGAAGAGGGGGGCAGGGGGGAGAGAGAGACTCTCTTTTTTTGGTTCATCCTCACCCAAGGATATTTTTCCATTGGTTTTTAGAGAGAGTGGAAGGGAGGGGGAGAGACAGAGAGAGAAACATCCATGTGAGAGAAACACATCGATTGGTTGCCTCCCGCATGCGCCCTGAGCAGGGCCGGGGATGGAGCCTGCAACTGAGGTAGGTGCCCTTGACCAGTCAAACCCGGGACCCTTCAGTCCACAGTCCGACCCTCTATCCACTGAGCCACACCGGCCAGGGCAGGAACATACTTCTGTGGTGTCCACTCCTTCTGCCACGTGGCTGTCCCCAGGCCAGCTTCCCCAGCCCCCGCCCCCCCTTCTCCCCGCAGGACACCCGCAAGGGCCACCCCCACCGCCTTGGCTGCCGTCTGCTCACCCCGCCCTGCACCTCACCTCTCGGCCAGGCTCCCAGCACGGTCTTGTCCACCACAGCCAGCCACCAGCCCCGTCACCCCTCACCGGCCACCATGGAGCCTGGTCCCCGGAGTGCCCCTTGCGTGGGATGCGCCCGCCTCCTCCCGGGCGGGTGAGCTGGTGTCAGCCCCACTGAGCGGCAGAGCTGGGGTTGCACTCCCAAAGCCTGGCAGCTCCACAGCGCCCCCTCCAGCGCCCCTGCCAGCCCCGCCCCAGCCTCCGGCCACCATCCGGCTCAGAATGCATGGTGGCCCACCATCTGCACAAAGAAATCCCAGTCTGGTTCCCGAGGCCGCGTGCCTTCCACCAGCTGGGGGGACCGGCGGGGCTCGGCACCCGCAGCGCCAGCTGGAGTGAGGCGGGTCCCAGGGGTCAAGTGGGTGCTCCTCCCTTGCGAGTTGGTGCCCTTCTGCCCCTGTCCTTGGCGGGCCTGCTGAGAGCCACCTGCTCCCACACCTGCCGCTCCCTCCTCACCTGTCAGGGCCCAGCTCAGGTATCTCCTACACCACCACCCCCCCCCCCGCCGGCCCAGGTGACAAGGAGCCCCTCCCGCGTACCCATCAGACTCAGGCACACCTGTCACCGCCCTGTCTCTGAGGAGGTCAGTGCACATCTGTCTCACGCCCCCACACCACTCACCCCCCCACCCGGAGACAGGGACTCCGACATCAGACACAACCGAGCCGCCGCTGTGCCAGGTGTGCTGGGTGTGGGGTCAGTGTGCAGGGCCCCAGGACTCTGGGGGGACCAGCCCAGCAGGTGCGATGGCCCAGGCACCCACGGCGGAGAAGGCTGCAGCCTGCAGGGGGGGGGGGGCGCGGGGGGAGCCCAGGCAGATGTGTTTCAGGAAGGGCCCTGGCTCCGTGGAGGGGACGGACCACTGTGAGGCTGGGGGGTGGCGCTGTGGAGCGGGACAGTGACCGCCTCGGGGACACAGTGACCGCCTCGGGGAGGGACAGTGGCCACCTCGGGGAGGGAAGGCCTCCTGGGGAAGTGGCCACATGGGCTGCAGAGGCTGGAGTCAGTGGGGGCAGGAGAGGGGTGGGGCCTTGGACCAAGGACCAAGGGGGCTAGAGGGCCCGGCCACAGGACTTAGACGTGGGCCGAGGGCGCCCAGGCACCTGCAGTGTGACTCCCAGCTCCCCCACGAGGTCTGTCCAGGGAGCAAGACCTCCCACCCGGACACCTGCCCACACCCCTGACCCACCCCTGGGTTTGGAACTTGTTAGGATCCGCGAACAGACAAACTAAGTGAAATGAAGTGCCATGCGGTTAGTAACCAGAAGGCTTGAGAGTCACTACCAGGCGCTTTGCTATTAAATACACTCAGGTCACCCCACAGGACAGGCCCCGTTGTCACGGAACCGACGGGCACCGGGCAGCCCACGCTCCCACAATGGACGACGGGCACCGGGCAGCCCACGCTCCCACGATGGACGACGGGCACCGGGCAGCCCACGCTCCCACGATGGACGACGGGCACCGGGCAGCCCACGCTCCCACGATGGACGACGGGCACCGGGCAGCCCACGCTCCCACGATGGACGACGGGCACTCAGCCTGCCCTGGGCCCAAGAAGGGGCCCCCCACCAGCACGGGGTGAGGTGTGCCTCCTCTGTGTGCTGTGTCCTCCGCAGAGGGGACCCTGGGAGCCGGCTGTGTCCCAGGCAGCCGAGTGCCTCCCACACCGAGTCTGTGGGCACGAGGGATGCCCATTCACCTGGCACCGCAGAGGCAGAGCCCATGTGTGGTGGTTCCGTGAGCCGAGGCAGGAGGGCGGAGATGACGCCGAGCCCCCAGGCCTCAGTCCGCTCCCTCTCCCCACCCAGCCCTCCACCTGCAGGGTCACAGCGTGAGGGGAGGGCAGGGGATGGGGCCTGGGCCTCTCTGGGTCTTAGCATCCCTGGTCCCTGGCCAACTGGGAGGCCGGTCGCCCCACCTCTGAGGGGCTCGCCACGCACCAGGAGATGCTCGGGCGGGACAAAGGCGCGGGGAAGACCGGCCTCCCAGTTCCTCTGTGGGAGCCACTTCCCCAGGCACCCCTCCTGCCCCGACGCCCTCA